GGCCTGGACTTAAAGATTGAACAGAACATGGTTAACATTCACTAACGCATATTTGCCATGACAAGGGTAAATTATGAAAGAGGGTAATGTTCTTAACCACAGAATACCAAACTGTGCATGCCTTCTGTCTTACATCCGACAAAATTTTGTGTAATCTTTACGCTTCATGAAATGTCTTGCTAACGCTCAAAAACATGTCGGATTAAGGTGGCTCCGTAATTAATACAAGAGCATTTAGCTGTGACAAATTTTCCGTCATAACTTTTTCGATTTTAACGCGATGGCTGCGAAACTTTGCAAAGAACAACAGATATCATTCGGCAATAATACGAAATATTCCGATTTCATTGATGGTAAATATTTCTTGAGAAATTAGCGCTTAAAAGGGCCCTACTGCTCAAAGAAAATCGCGTCTAGTAAAAAATTTTGCTGATATTTTTTACTGAAATTTCTGGTATCGGCTTTAATTGATATAATAAATATGCCAGAGGAATTTCAGAAAAATCGTTGGAGCAGAAGTCCGTAACTAAAAGTCGCTCAAAATTCAGCTGTGAAATTGTTTTGGAATTTCAAAAATAAATTACTATCAGGTAGAAGGAGCCACCAGTTTCAATTTTCGGGACAAGTAAATTCAGTGTTTGCTAATTCTGAAAACAGAAGCCGATTGCCTATCGTGCTATTCATTAAAAGATAGTTTTCAGTTTTAGAAACACTATAAATTGCTCCAAACTTTGCTCTGACGTCGAATGACTTGTTCCTCGACATTTTTAAAATACCACTTGGCAGTTTTGGTTCAAACTCCTGCTACATACATTTTGATGTACTGCAATGCATCCTCAACGGCTTTTTCCTGCTGTACGTTGTTTCCAATTCAGGAAAAAAGGTATTGGGATTGTAAGATACCTTGTAGCGAATCTCAGATAGAACTGTCGAGCACCTTTGTTTATGACCAGAAAATGAGCACGAGCGGCAGCTCTGCGAGGAATTCGCACCTCAGCCAGGGGGGACGAATGACAATGATGCCCATGTCTGTGAACCGATCTGTATAAACATCTATTGCAGAGCAAAACATAATAATCAAGAAAAAAATACCCATTCATTGAAGGAAGGAGTGACAAAAAATTTCAGAGTTGTAAATTTATTCACGGGCAGTATTTTTATGATAATTTTATTTTGCACTGTGATGTTATTCGGTTCACAGGCATGGTCATTGTCGTTCGTCCCCCTGAGTGAGGTGGTGAATTCTCGCAGAACTGCCGCTCGTGCTCATTTTGTAGTCATAAACAAAGGTGCTGGACAGTTCTATCTGAGCTCTGATACGAGGTAGCGTCCAATCTCAATACTTTTTTCCTGAGTTGGAAGCAACGAACAGCAGTAAAAGTCGTTGAAAATGCATTGCAATACATCAAAATGCATGCAGCAGGAGTTTGAGCCAAAACTGCCAAGGGATATTTTAAAACGGTCGAAGAAAAAGTAATTCTACTCCAGAGCAAGGTTTGGAGCAATTTATAGTGCTTCTAAAACTAAAAAGTACCTTTTAAAGAATAGCACGATGGGCAATCGGCTTTTGTTTTAAGAATTAGCAAACGTTGAATTTACTTGTCCCGAAAATTCAAACTGGTGGCTCCTTCTACCTGATAGTAATTTATTTTTGAAATTCCAAAACAATTTCATAGCTGAATTTTGAGCGACTTTTAGTTACGGACTTCTGCTCCAACGATTTTTCTGAAATTCCTCTGGCATATTTATTATATCAATTAAAGCCGATACCAGAAATTTCAGTAAAAAATATCAGCAAAACTTTTTACTACACACGATTTTCTTTGAACATTAGGGTCCTTTTAAGCGCTAATTTCTCAAGAAATATTTACCATCAATGAAATCGGAATATTTCGTATTATTGCCGAATGATATCTGTTGTTCTTTGCAAAGTTTCGCAGCCATCGCGTTAAAATCGAAAAAGTTATGACGGAAAATTTGTCACAGCTAAATGCTCTTGTATTAATTACGGAGCCACCTTAAGGGAAAGTTTTGTCAACATGGAAATAAAATGACAATAAAAAATGACGGTGTTGTTGTTTCACCTGTTAATGTAATGACGTCAATCGTGCTACAGAATTGACAGATTATTGAACCGCTAACTGAGAAGACCTGGGGACGAGTTTGAGTTGTGTTCGTAGTGAGTACAAAAGGGCGGAACATTTTACTGGTTTCACGGCGAACTGTTGTCTTTAAACATAGCAAGAACAACAAGAAGACAACTCGACGACACCCGCTATTTGGAGTATATCTCACTTTCATACTCATCATGTATGGGGGCATCATTACTCACTCCTTCATTACTTGTAAACTGCACCTTAAGCAGTCTGGCAAAGTCCTCCAACCAGTGTTGTAAATTATCCCTGAAAAGCCCTGAATGGTGACACTTATTAACCTTTCCCAGAATCCTCCATGCTAAGGTGTTCTTTTCGGTATGAAGCGCCAATCTACACCCTGTTTGCTCAGTGACGCTTTTAATATCTGCGATGGAAACAGTGCGGTTACCTCTTCAGCAGCTAACAGGTACGTATAAACATTATCAGATATCGTTTGTTGGGGGACAGACCTTCGGGAAGCAAATCCTCGATACACGAGAACGAAGGCTTGTACCGAAAAATCTGTAACGACTACAAGGTAGACTACTCTTGTTGTAGCACGTGTCAAGAAGCAGATGTAATCTCTCTTTTCGGCTACAGCTTCGCGGATGTATAAAGCTCTTGTAAAGTCTACGTCAGAGACTGTAAATGGTTCTGCTTGAGTGAGTCTTTTCTTTGGAAGAAGAGATGGGTCAGGATGTTGCTTTCTTGACATGTTAGCGTCCAGCAGGAATCCAATATCTCAGACGTACGAGATTCAGTGTGAAAATTCGCACATGCATATAATTGATTAACATGCGTGACACTGATGTCTGAGGAATAAGAACTTGGTAGATTTGGAAACTAGCGCATTGTGAACCCTCTTGCCGATACGCATAACATTAGTATTATCTAAAAAGAGGAGTAGCTGTCGAACTAGTGGTTTTTGGCGTAGATTTGGAGAGCATACTGGAGATCTCCTTGTGGTAACTCACTTGCTGACGATTCTTGATCCATTCTCTCTGGGCATGAGCCAGTTCTTGAATGTGTTGTCAGAGCTCCTTTGTTCTTGTTCTGCTTTCTGGTATTGAGCACAAACCGCAGGACGAAGGGTTTGACGTAGGTGAGCCTGGAAATGGTGCTGATAGGTCTGTTGGTTATCTATGGTCAATGGTTGGAGATAACCTTGGAGCGGTAAACTTGGAAGGGGCTGTTAGGGTCACTGAGGTAACTCAATCAGAAGAAGCGTGTAGCATCCCTATCTTGTTCACCAAGACTGATGTCTACGAAAGCCTTCTCAGTATCATGCAGTTGCAAAACCAAACGTACAGCGGGGGAATCGGGGTAGGATAGCAGTTAACTCATTAAGAATAGGTGGTCCTGGTAACAGACTGTCATTAAGGCTAGGGTGTTCTTGGGATTGTCGACAGCTGCAGTCTTACACGACGCGTATTGGGGTGGTTGCAGATTCCTTAAACAAGGCATGGTGTGGGAGATAGTGGCAGGTACCTACAATTCCAAAGGTTAACATTAATTTCAATTTTCTCGCTTCGCATTTGTAATGAAAAGATCCAGAACATACATTGCATGTCAATTCCTTTTGGCTTAGCCGTATAGTTTTATTGCATGCTAAACAACTCTTCTTGACTGTAATATTTTGCACTGAGTTTTTCCTTCCAGTTCATGTTTGCGTTATCAGGACCGGGATTTGTTTCCACGTCACCAGCCGGCGAGAACAAGACGATCTGTGACAACCGAGTTGAGGTAGTAACAATGACTTTCTTTAGATCTTTTGATCTTTCTGGTGATTTTTGTTCCTCTTTTACACTTTGTGATTAATTGTGTCAGTGGTGGCACGAATTCCTGGCTGGCTTCCCATTCAGTGTCAATACCAGAAGGCGAGACCACGGTATGAATATTCCACAGTGCCTGATTCGAGCTTCCATGAAAGAATGAAGTGTTAAGACTGTTAAGCCCACCGTGATGGTGCGCTCCATTCTTATGTTAAATCCATCCAAGTAAAGCAGACGTTGGATCATTAGACAAGAATTCAGCGCTATTGGCCAAAGGGCCGGTCGAACATGACATCAAGATACGAAGTTACCGCAGATCGAGAACCAAAAACTCCATCTGTAGACATAAATAGCGACTCTGATGTAGTTAAAATTCGCCCAGTTATGTGTCCAAATGAGCTGACATACGTGTGGTTGGTATAAATTCGCCCAACGAAGAGCAAAGAGGGCAAAAGCACAGAGACCGAAAAGACGCGGCTGCTCATTATTATTCATACATGCACATATGTGCCAAAGTTGTTGTTTTCTAGTTGGGTGCCATCCTTTCTATAGCGAAGTCCATTTTAAACCTCAAAATTATGGAAAAAAATATCGCGAAGATCTGAACAAGCACATTCCACAAAAGATAAACGAATTCGCCTCGTTGGCACTTGCCGGAAGGTACCTCTAGTTCTAGTACTGGGGTACAGCTGGGGATCAATAGAAGGATGCAGATGTATTCTTATGCTAAAGTGTTTTTACACATGTTCCTTATTTTTGAGTAAGATGTATCAGCCCTAGACCATAATGTGAAAATGCCTTGCCGCTACGATTTAATTATCTGTACCAAAATAATAATTACGGTTATATCATCCGTTCTTTAAGGAACATTTGTTTAAAAGCTTTAATCAGCTTCATTAGCCCAGTGACACCTTAAAGCAATGATTGATTTTTCAAATTCCGCACACACACGCACACAATGCAAAAATTCATTCGGCAAATAGTTCTAGTTTTTAGATTTTTATATTTCAAATTTTTTTGAGGGAATAAGTCAGTTTGTAACACCCTCTGAAGCTGACTAAATATCCCTCAACAAAAAAACAGTGTGTTGAAAATTTTAATATTGATTGTCTGTTGGCCTGAGAATGGCCGACCACTACTGGCTCCCCCGAGAAACGACGTCTGACTAACGCGCGAGGATCAACAGAGGATGACCAATGAGGTGTCACTACTCAGAGTGCTTCTGATTGGTTGAAACAAGTTTCACTTTTGAAATTATGAATATATGAATATCATATATGTGAACTGCGGAGTGAAGAATTATTTGAAGGAAGATCATCGCAGTTGTATACGCAACTTATGCAGTTGCGAAAAGCAAGCCCTATAAAAAAAATCAGTCTTCTACGGGATTCGAACCCTTTTGACCTCTGCGTTGTCGGTAGGCAGCGCTCTACCAATTAAGCTGACAAGCCAACTGGGAGTAGGTCGTTGAAGTTGGTTCGTAATAAATCCGTGAAAGGATAATGATGAAATTATGAATATATGAAAATCATATATGTGAACTGCGGAGTGAAGAATTATTTGAAGGAAGGTCATCGCAGTTGTAAACGCAACTTATGCATGCAGTTGCGAAAAGAAAGCCTGAAAACGAATTCAGGCCGTAAACGTGGATCACGCACAAGAGTTGACTGGAATGGGGAAACGAAGTACCGACATAGCTTTCTTCTGTGTTTTCTGAATAAATACCATCAAATAGTTCGTCACGATGCTTAGTTGCCTCTTTGATTGAAAAAGAAATCTACAAGCCATGGAACTTTTAATCAGAACTTGGGCTACTTACATGTGCAGCACGTTTTGATCAAGGAAACTAGCTTTTTTGAAAGTAAACATATATATTTCATTTTAGGAAAATCCAACTAGTGGTTTATTATCAATGCTGTGTTCTGATTGGTTGAGCTACTACTCGGCTATATGTTATAGCCTACTACTAGTAGCGAAAAGCGCGCGCTTTTTGGAGGCAAAAAAGGATTAAAGTCTAGCTTTAACTAGCTACAATTTTTTTATTCTCGATATTTTTTACCAAATAGTTGGATTTTATTAAAACAATTATTCCTCTCACCCTCATGAGAGCCCATTCGGGCTGGAGGAATAATTGTTAACTTGCGTGAAGGCCATTTGCACGACATTGGTAACCACTTTTTTGTAAAACTTAACAAGTGTAACGCTATACTGTTACTACTAAACTTCTGTTACCACTTTCTACTAAACTCGTACATAGAAAGTTGATTTTCTATAAGGTCATTATGGTGCAATTGATATGCATTACAATGAGTACATAGTTTTGGTTGTAGCTTTAACCTGCGTGGCATTGGTGCCGATAACTTTCTTGGTTATTTTATATGGGGGGACGAAAGGCAAGCGAGGGGAACACCCTCCCTTCGCCCTAAAAAGAGACCGGGTTGGCTACGCAGGCTATTTTAGCTTTAAGTTCGATGAGGAATTAAAATCATTGTTAAAGAACTGTAGAGTCGTTAAAGGACGCTATTTTATCATACTTTTAAATAATGACTGTAAGTTTTGTCAGTGATCTCACATCTCACTTACCTCTTAAATAACGCTTAATAGACAAAACTTTTAAAGGTTTCTTGTAAGCTCAAAATTGACTGACGGAATGTTCATGGCTTTCAAAGCGTTAGATTATCAATGCACGATATGTAACCGTTCATAGAAGCTCGATTATCGTACTTTAATTTCCATTTTCAACATTGTGTCTTTGTCTTGGAGGCACTGTTGAAGGCACCATTTAAGAACCGTAAATGTGCCATTTAAGCGCGAAATAAGAAACACGTTAAAGCCACTACACCTGAAGCACAATACACAGGATTTTGACTTCTTATTAGAGCATAATTGAGTACTCCATACACGCTCAAAGAACGATTGCGAAGTATTGATTGCGTATGTAGAGCGATGCGTTTTTGAGGATAAGAAATACAAGGCAAGTTGTCTAAGTTCTAAGGTGGAGAGAGGGATTCGGCGAAATTAGGAGAGTTGACAGGTAGGCGATTTTGATAAGTTGCATTAATCCCCTCCTTATAGTCAAATAATAAGAATAATACTTAGTTTCTATAGGGCCATTTCCAGCAATACCCAATGGCGCTTTCCAAGAAATGTTTAAAATATTACAAATATTGCTCATAAATTACATTAAATTGAAACGAATAAAAACGAATTAAAAATAGTAACACTAACTGATAAAAAAACACTTTCAATTAAACACTTTGAGATAAGTCTTAAAGTTTTTCCTAAAAACTCTCACAAGATTTAATTTCTAGTGGCATATCATTACACAACTGTGGAGAGGCTGCTGGAAAAGACCGGAAACCACAATTGCGCAGATTATATCGGACATCAAGCAGACGCCGAGGAATATACCTCGTAACTAGGTCGGACAAATATGGAGGGGCTAAGCCATTTAAACCTTGAAAGGTCATAAAAAGAATCTTAAAAGTTATGCGCTCTTCTATAGGAAACTAATGCATTTCCTGTAATACTGGTGAGAAATGTTCATGTTTAGGTGTAGGCGAAAGGATTCTGGCCGCTACATTTTGAACATGCTGAAGTATCTTGATAGTTTATTTCGGTAGTCCATACAGAAGTGAAATATAGAAGTCCAATCTGGAAGTAATGAAAGCATGCACAAGTATTTCCGCCGTATGGCGACTGATATATTTCTTTATGCGGCTAATGTTTCGAAGGTGGTATAAGGTGGTAGAGGCCTGCCTTGCATACGGCTGACTGTAAGAAGATATTTCATCGACTTGAATGATCACACAGAACACCAATTATATTCTAATTCGCTACCCCGCTCAAACGAATATAAAACATTTATCATGTAACAAGCAACCTCAATTGGGGTGTGTCAACACGAGCCGTGTGCGACCCTCTTTATTATGCCTTCATCAACAGAATGGATGGAAATAATACAACAAACAGAATGAAAACTCGGAAATGTAAAAAATTACAGCAAGAAAAACAACCCAACAAAATGATCTAAACTATGCTAGTATAACAATCATTCAGTAAACATACAAAACGTGCTAAACCTTTCATATAGCAGCATGCAAAAAACTACGTCTAAGAGAAACCCCTGATCACTGGGTATTTAATTTTGAGGGCGTAGGGACGGTCGTAAGACGCGAATGAATATAAATGAGAACAACTCAAATATATATAGCCTACCGCTAATGAAGCAACAGAACAGCATACCATGTAACACCCCAAAGAAAAGGTTACATAACCCATGATAAATACATTTATATTCTAATTCGCTACCCCGCTCAAACGAATATAAAACATTTATCATGTAACAAGCAACCTCAATTGGGGTGTGTCAACACGAGCCGTGTGCGAACTAAAAGAACGGGAAATACGGAAAATTAAATACCCAGTGATAACGAAACCGACAACAATGAATGAACGCTATCCTTAATGTAACCGTCTTTTGCCTTGTCTGATTTCCAACGGTCGTGTCTTTTAAACAATCTGTCAGGCACTCGAGCATTAGCAGCAGCGGAGGCACCTCCGGCCCTAAGGCTATGGAGACCGTAGTCTTGCTTGGGAAGGCCGATGGAATCGAAAGCGCTAAGCACTATCTCCCGCGCTCTAGTATAAGACAAAGGAACAGACCCGCGCAATTTATAAGCTCCGGTACTGCGAAGAAAAACAAGAGGGCGAAAAATGAACTCTTCGCTGTCTGCTGAAAAAGAAGCGGCCACAAAATATCGTTGAACTAATAAATAAGGACATGTATGCTTGAAAGTTTTAGCGATAACAACCCAAGCCCCATCCCTGTAAACGTCAGTCTTACTTCGATGAACAAAGATTCGCATAAAAGAATCTTCAAACTGAAAATCACACCTGCGTAACTGAACCAACTCGTTAAAGCGAAAAAACCCTGCATAACCTAAAACGCACAAAGTAAGCACTCGTAAATCAGACAAACTAGGTGAAGACGATCCATACTTAGAAAAAAAAAAAGCTGACGCCTCGGGGGTCACAGGCTCTTTCTTTTTAACAGGGATACTGAGAGGCCTCTTAGCAGATTCTTTTAAAGGTAAAACTAACGAGGAATTACAGGGGTCGGGTAGACCTGCCAAATCATGCACCCACTTAAGCCCATAATAGACTTCGTCAATAGTACTGCAAGAAGCAGATTCTTGAATCACGCGAAGAAAGAACAATGAAACGTGCACACTAGAAGCGGGAAATATAACAATTTCTTTAAACTGAAAAGCCCATTTTCTCCACGTATTAAAGCCCTTTTCGTACTTCCTCGCGGTACTGTCGGCTTTGGATTTAAGAAGAACTGCGCGGAGATCTTGAACCAGTGCCCGGAGTCGCCCGTCTTCAACCTGTTGAAAATTAGGCTGCAAGGCATCTTTGAGAACTTCTACGAGGATAAGAACAAAAATATATGGCAAAATTCCTCAATACACGCACTGGGAGTCAATACAGCAATAAAAAATGGACGCTTGGTAATGCCTCTGACCGGATGCAAAACTCTTTAAGGCCGAATGGGCCAACTCAAAAACCATGGTAAACAAGCCACTCGGCGAGCTAGTTTCATGCGAAACGAGGACAAATGAACCGACGAGCGGAATAAAAAACACGTGGGCCAACATAAAGCCACTCGGCATGAAAAAACTAAGGCCCCTTAGTGCCAATTCTGACTGCCAGCACCGCGCTATTAAACCTGTCTGAACCAATGAGTAAATCTTTGTAACACCCGAGGGAAAAAATCCCTGAGTGGTCGGGAAAATGAATGTACTCAAGGACGTACGGTTGAAATTGAATTGCATTTGCGAACAAGAAAGGCCAAAACACATTAGACGGCCAATAAGGGACGACTAAAGTACCAACCGCACCGCATACAAGGAGATGCTGAACCGCCCTAGTAATGCAGTGGACGGGAGGGACTAGCCAATTATTCTCTCCATTCCACGAGATTGAAAATGCGTCAACAGCTTCAGTGCCGGGTACGCGAAACCTAGAATTGAATCTGGGAAGATGGGCGTTGGCAGCATTCGCAAACCTGTCGACTGTATGTGGGCCCCAAAGGCGGTCCAAGTGTGCGAAGAACTCGGGGGTTGTATACCAGTCATCGAAGTCTACAATGTGGCTAATCGCATCAGCACAAGCATTAAGTTCCCTGGGAACCCACTGGGGAATAAGTGTAATATTGTAGGTTCGACAAAAATAGAAAATATCAAGCGCAATAGAATGCAATTCTGCACTAGGACTCCCCATCTCCACAACACGAACGGCCCCTTGGCTGTCAGAATGCCACTTTACACACTTACCCCGAACCGAGGCTTTGAACGCACTTAAGGCAAATTGTATAGCCTTAAGTTCTCTCCAGGTAGAGCTCTTAGCTGCTTCGCAAGCAGTCCACATACGATGGGACACCTCATTAGTGCCCACAACAAAAGCCCCGCAGGCAACGTTGCTAGCGTCCGAATAGCTAAACAAAAGGGGAGCATTATAAGGCAAAATAGGTCTCGTATTAACACTAACGATATTGTTTTTCCAGAAAAATATTTCAGAGAGGCAATCATTATGAAGCCCGATATTAAAACGGGAATCCCAGCTACGGCGGGATTCTATGACCTTGTAAAGGAAACGGGTTTTGAGACGAGTCAGGTTACCCAAAACTGGCGACATGGACATAACATGACCTGCGATAACGGCACAATCCCGAGCCGTAACATAAGGTGCGGATAGAAGAAATTTGTCAATCAGAGCGATAAATTTGCAAATACGTCTATCGGTAATAGAAATGGTACCGATAACTAAGTTCCAGTTTAAACCCAACCAAACAAGCACCTGAGTGGGGTTCCATAGTGATTTGGCGGAGTTGGCAACAAACCCCGCACTGCTTAAGGATGATTGCACAAACAATGAATTTTCCTTGGCCATAGGCAGTGAATCCCCTTTTCCGCACCCATCGTCGAGGAACACAACAATTTTAATCCCGTTAGACCTCCAAAACTTAACGAGTGGTCTGAGACACTTGGTAAAGACGTATGGGGCTGAGCTTAGACCGAACGGAAGTGATGCAAAACAAAAATACCGAACGGTACCAGAAAAAACCCAGGAGAAACCCAGAAAAGTTTGGTGATCCGGAAAAATATCGATATGATGATATCCAGACTTGAGATCGAAACTGAAAAGGTAATCGCCCTTATTAACATATGATAATAAAACTCTCTAGTCTTCACACCTAAACTCCAAACGAAATGATTGACATGACGTAAGTCCAGAATAAGCCTCTTCTTGCCTGAAGACTGTATCGAGACAGAGAGCGGATTAACGACATGTGGAATAAAGGGCACCTCAACGACGGCGTGAGTGTGGACTAATTCAGCGATAGCCGACTCCACGAAAGACGCATTATAAAGAGCTGACTGATTGTTAGAAAAACGCGCCTGACAAGGTGTGCTAATGAATGGGATCCGATAACCGAATTTAATAGTATCGATAACAAAACTATTGGCACCAATAGTGTGCCAATAACTTAACCAGGACCTAAGTCTACCCTTAAGTACTGGCAATGCGGAATTCTGTTCAAATTCAAATAGATTGCGATCATAATCGAAATCGACTAATGAACTAGAGTCCCTTTCCCTGAAATACTTCAAATGAGAAGGATACATGTCTAATAAATCGAGTAAAGCTAATATCTAACCTTGGAGAACAAGTTTTTAATTCTGTGGTCCTATTTACCTCCAATGCCCGAAAGACCAGAAGAACTAGGAAAGGACGGCCCCGAGCTTGAAGATCTGGCTTGAGGATTAACTTGACACTGAGATCTCCAATGACCTTGCTGGCCGCAGGCGAAACAAATATCACTTGGTCTTGGTTTGCTGAAAGCGCCAAAAGTACGAGAAATAGGTCTGGAGGATGATGAATGTTGGCCAGCAAACGCGGTGGTTGCGGTAGATGATTGGAGTTGTGAATAACCTTGCTTGGATGGCTTCGCTTTCTGTTGGCGTTGGTTGCGTTTACGAAGGGCCCTCTGCTCGGCACGGCGGATACGCTTTTCGTCCTCTGACCCGCTAGCCAGCTCGTCTGATAAATACTCGTTCACCAAATCCCAACCGGCGGCGGACTTGTCTGCCAGTCCGATAAGTTTGTTGCGCTTCTTGATGTCAGAGTCTAGTTCTTCCAGGTGAGTTTTAACAAGGTCTAATTTTCTCTTCCCGAGAGCAACTGACGCCGACTTCACCTTCTCTGCAAGGTCGGAGTTGAATTGAAACTGTTTCTTATTACCTTCGAATCTAAACGTGATCTTGGATTCTTCTTTAAGCTTTTTGGCCACAGAAGCGGTATTACTGCACGACTCGTCTTGAATATCGCGCTTCAAGGCGCCCAACTTCTTGTCGAAATAATCATTAAATAGAGAGAACGCGGACGCTATATCACTGGATTCTGAAGACTGGATTGGTACTGAACCTTCGAGAGATTGAGACAAAGGTTGTTTAGGAAGCGAAGGCAGCAAAACGTCGCTGCTAGGAAAATCTGTGTTCGCTGGAGTAACGTCTTCAACATCAGACATAATTTTGAGGGCGTAGGGACGGTCGTAAGACGCGAATGAATATAAATGAGAACAACTCAAATATATATAGCCTACCGCTAATGAAGCAACAGAACAGCATACCATGTAACACCCCAAAGAAAAGGTTACATAACCCATGATAAATACATTGTTTCTGCAGTACTCGTTACAAATCGTTGAAAAAGAAACCCTTTCCAATGAATTTTCTCTTAAATTTCTTACATTCACTCTTCACACATTTGTTCTCACTCAAAAGTGCCCATCTCCTTCCTCAATGTTGAGCCACGTGTATTTTGGAGTACTGAGACGACTGTAATACCCAAATTAACATTGGGGAAGGGGAAACGCACACAAGTGTTCCAAGATTTGTGACGAGTATTGTAGCTACCGATGACTTGCTAATCACCTCATCACAAACTGAAATTGACGTCAGGTGCGAAGGTTGGCGATGACTAGCAGTTAGCACAACTAGTTCTGTCTTGTCCCTGTTCATCTTAAGCTTGTTTACTGTTATCCAAGCATCGATATCTCGCACACAGTAGTCTTCTACCGCTATCTAATTTGGCCAGTTCAGCAGAGGATGATTCAGAGCTGAGAGGCGTATCATCGGCATACAAATGAAGGGCAACTTGACTGGTGTCTGATAATATCACCCAAGGGTAAAGTATAAAGCAGGAATAAAAAAGGTCAGAGGACACTACCCTGGGAAACACCATAATGAAGCTCACGCCACCGTTTACTTTCACTGTCCGTGGTAACGATCAGACAAATAACTATGATCTAAATATAAAGCACTACACACTGTAAAGTGCGCAGTCAACGACGCCAAAACATCGCTCGTACTAGCAATGTTAGCTGAGTAAATTATAAGAAGGGAGAAATCGTAAATTAAAGTGGACTTGATATATTTTCGGCTAGCGCGCTCGATTTAATTTTGGCGGGCCAAAAAAAGGCTTTTAGTATGACATACAGGAAGAATGCATGTTTTGTTCAAAAGACAATTTTCGGCACAACCGCTAAATATATATAAATACACCCTTGATGCTATTACCTTCTGAAAAATGGTGAAATTCACGGTGTTAACAAATGAGGAAACATTACGTTCTTTGCACGGGTGTAAGAAATAGAAAAAAATCCTAAATCGAGATAAAATATAGCTTGAAAGTAACTTTGAGAAATGTGTACTAAACCTTGTAAGGATGATGTATAGATTTCCTTTCGTTTTTTTGTACGAGCGGTTTGAAAATGCCCTAATTTGCATAATTTTCAGGTTTAAGCCGAAATTAAACTTTCCTATTTTTCGCAAAAACGGGGCTTCGCTAATGAGAACTTTCGAATATTGCCACGGTGTTTGAAAAAAGTATACCAAAAGGGTCTTTTGGTGAAATAAAAAAAAAAATTCGAATTTTTTGAACTGCATGTCGCCGGATTCTCGATAGTTACCGACAACGGCTCTTAATCGTTAATCTTAATCGTTGTCATAGATTTTGCTTCCCACCATTTTTTATGCTGTTTCTTTTATATCCCGCACTTTGCTCGTGCACAATTGGTTCGTTTTTGCCATGTGTTTGGTCGGAAATCGAATTCAAGTTTGTTTTGAGTTTACTGTTCGGCTCGCTTTCTTTCATTACGTGAAACCCTAGCACATCACAGTTTCATAACAAAACAAAACAACAAAAACAAAAACAAAAACACTCATGCACTTTATTGGTAGCACTAATAATACGATTTGTTATACATAGCGTTCACTATCTTTCTTCTCATTCTATAAAAGCCTTCAGTTAATTTTTGGAATCAGCGCAACCTACAGATTTGATAGTTATCTGCTAGCAGGTAACTGTCTAATATGTAGATTTTCCGCACAATGCATGATTTCCAAGAGCAATGTCAAACTGTGGTCCGTGCGACGATGTGTTTGTCTATTTCTATTTTTCTCTTTAAAACAATGTATAATAAAACAATTATTAAATTCGTTTTTTGTGATATCCGGTTTAATCAAGGTCTCGGTAAGTGTTATTAGCCTTGGCGTTCGCCTCGGTTCATACGACCTACCTCAAAATATAGAAAAATCTGTGGAAAAAGTTAGCAAAAAGCGAAAACAAATAGCGACATCCTAAGGATAATCAATTCGCTCTTGTTCATTAGCGCGCCAGTACCACGAGAGGCCTTTATATCCTATGAGGAGAGTCGTATGGATTTATAAGCGAAGAAATGCGTTGTTTACTTACAAAAACCACAAGGAAGAGAGATCTGAAAATATTCCTGACGGAAGCGTCTTGAGCTCGTTGTCGTTCAACTGCCTGCAGGAAAACAAATGATAGTTAATATGTATGAATACAAAATCATTTTCGGTCACCAGTTTGTAAATGCTATTCAAAATGTAACTTTTACAGTCAGACAGCCGCGTAGAATGTTGAACAAAATGTGTTATGGTTGATGTGCGGGAGTCATAGGCGTACGGGCCAGTGGGGCGAGGGGGGCTGCAGCTCCCCCAAATTTTGGGCAACTCAGATTTTTTGGGCAGTGAGAGAAAATTTGGGCAAAGCCAGTTTTTTTAAGACTTTTTCGTGTGTTTTAAATCATTATTTTGAAGAGATAAATATTTTCTATTTTAACCTGAAGTTGGCGTAATAATCTAGTACTGTTACATTCACACGAGACAGTGGTTGCCTAGCACGTAATGAGTTTCTGGTTATAAAGGAAGGGTATCATGTGCTGATTTTATTTTTATTGTTGGGCACTGTACTCCAATGGGCTATTTCCAGTCGTGAATTGATTAGAATAAACTTCCGCCTAACTTTCTAGAATCATCTCCGCTCGTAGAACAGTGTATGGCAGATGGCATCAGCAATGGGTCTGAAAGTGAAAAAGTGGCTGACTAATTCTTAGTTCAGTGAATTACGCGAAGAATCTTAATTTTTTTTTTAAATAAATCTATCGAGTGGTTTAAAAATTATTCACTAATTTGTTAAAGTAGACCGAAATGTTTACAAAACTGCTAACAAGAGCGCCATGATACATACTAAATACTCAAATCCTTTTTTGGCCAGAGCTATCTCCATGATCTTTTACCCACGTTTGTAAAAAGATTGAAACTACTATGAGGTGAAATTGCATGTCAAAAGCGCTTCGTTTTCTACAGATAACGGTCAAACATCAAGACTTTCGTTTTGTACCGTATTTCCAACGATAAAAACTTTATCCCAATATATCTCCGCAACGCTCTTAAAGATTCCGTTTTAACTTCACGAACATCGAGTCGACCATTGGAGGAAAATTCTCCCGTGAACGATTTTGGAAAAACGGTTCCCAGTGAGAAATGTTGCTGCAGGTATAATAGGTAATGGCGTCATTTAGTTGCTATGACAACTCCGATGTTACTGCAACCCGGATCATAACAAATTTTCGTCTTAATTTAATACAACTGTGGTGGCAATTTTTCCAAATGTTTGTTTATGGTGTCGTAGTCTATGCTCAAAAAAAACTTCACAGGTATTGACCCTGAAAAACTGTATTGACAGGGACCGCGGAGCAAGGTGAAAAGTGGCAGGGCTGGCAATTGAAAATAATTTTTTCATATTGAAAATCGAAAAAAGGAATAAAATCATAGTATTTGATTTGTTTCTGTCACGTGACTTTGCATACTTTATCCAGCGTATTTGTCAGCTCTTTATAGGTCGGCCAACATACACGGTCAGTTCAGATTCAATGCAGGAAAAGACGCGATTACAATTTTAGTATAGAAAATACTACACTGAAGTGATCTGAAAAATTTCTAACTATGGCCGTTCACTGTTCAAATAATGTAATTCTTCTTGCCATCGAATATTTCATTGATTCGAAAGGAGAAACTGACAAAATATAAAACTTTTATCAACTCAAAACAACTACTCACCTTCTTTTGGCTTGAAAAAGCTAGTAATTTTCTTCATTTCGCCTGATAAAACTGATAAAAAACTCTGCCGGAGCTGGAAGTACAAAACACGCTGCCGAAAGAAGCGAAGGGGTGGCCAAGGCATGGCGTTTGATCAAGGGGCAAGTCGGCCCCAGAGCACAATTACCGCGAAAAGCACAGGAGCCCCACAAAATGCCTGGCGTTTCAAATTAAAGAAAATACAGAGAATATAGCGGAATATAGACGGAAAAAAAACTTGTTTCAAGTCTTTTTTTTATTTTAATTATTTTTCTTTTGAGCGCAAAAAGTGGGGGCGGGGGCGCAAAAAAGTGGTGGGGCCGCAGCCCTACCAGCCCCTCCCCCTTCGCGGTCCCTGATTGAGCCACTTTCATATGCTAGTACGGCCTATGTTGTTGCATCGCATGGCCCTCGTTTCTGTTCGACTGTTTTGTAAAAATTCGGGCAACTTGCAAGAATTTTTTGGGCAAATGGTTTACCGCCCTGCCTGGCTAAAAATTGCCCGTACGCCTATGGCGGGAGTTCTCTAAATTGGTTTGTACCTGACGCTATATGCATGCCATACTTGTGCTTCAGTGGAGACACCGTATGGGATACAGAAGAAATGCTGTTGCACGGGGTCTCTGGCACAAGTACGAGCCTTAAGCAGCAGGGATTGAGTTCTAGTTGCATTAACTAGGATATATACAAGTGTGAGGTATGCAAACTATTAAAAGTATGTACGTGAACATTGATTGATTAAAAAAAGATTACTATGTCCATTGTAGTCTATTGTAACTAAAAGAGTAAATAAATAAATTGTTCAAAGGTAACAGAAATCATCATCCTTATTTGTAATCAGATATGATTCCTTCTCGAAGCTTAATTCATCTAGTAGCGCCTGGTCTATTTTTTTTATCTTTTTCTTAAAACTTGCAGGGCTATCAGAAAGTTTATATGACTCGGGCAGGATATTCCACACAATAAGCCCTCTGTAGGGTAAGAATGTTCTTCCCATGGAGTAATTGTACTTTGGTACCTTAAATCCATCCCTTCTTCTTAGGTTTTAGGGTTGCTGCTCAGTTTTGTGAAATAAGTCACAGATGGG